AATGTCTTCACGTCAACTCCGTGAGACACAAGCCCCCAGGCCCCAGCAGAGTGAGCCAGTCTGGGGGCTGTGCAGCCAGTTGGCCATGAGCAGAAGGAGCCATGGTAGGGCTAGGGTTTGGTTCCAGCTCTGGACAACTCCAAAGCCTGGCCTCTTAATTATGCTGCCTCTGCTCTACTCGTAATTCTTGTTAACAGCCATAAATCCAGCTCTGTCTGTTAGACCCAGTAAATTTCAAAGTGGAAAATCATTTTTCTAATAAAACTACACTGAGAAAAAAACGATGTTAATGTTCATACATCCTACCCTAATTATGACATCAACCTCCCAGCCAAAGTATTTTGCACGTTATAAAGAGCTGTTTTTATGATGAATGGGGATTATATTGGCACTTTAATTGAGTTAGAAACCAAGGTACATGAATGTTAGTGCACAAGAGTTGCAATAAAAAAAAATCTGTCCCAATGTGATTGGAATAGATCAGATTAATTTAATGCCACCTCAGAATACACAGAGTCTCTCCCTTTACATCTGTTTTATCAAAATTTTAGATGAAATATTTGTATGCATATGTATGTGCACACATTTTTCCCCTTCAGAAGAAATCTCTTTTTCTTTTAGTTAAGATTCTATCACATTTTTTTAACAGATCAAATGTATGATAAAGTTGAATTTCAAGTTTGTGATCAAAACCCTTTCTTTGCTGTGGGAATGGAATGGTTGTCCTCTTATATTTAAATACGGTAATTTAGGAGACTGGCACATATTTGAATAAAATTATGTAAACTTTTAAAAAGCACTTGCCACATTAGAGTTTTTTGGGTTTTTTTCTTCTTTCTCTTTTTCTTTTTTTGGACTGGGGATCAAACTCAGGACCTTGTGCTTGCCAGGCAGGAGGCAGCACCACTGAGCTAAATCCCTGGCCCCTAGAGTTTCTGATTGAAATGTTGGTTCAATTTCAGCTGTATATTTATTTATTTATTTAATTTTATTTTCTAGTTCAAATTTGTGCATTATTGACAACAACCACAAAATCTGCTTAACCCACATGCCCTTAAAATTAGTACAGTCCTTTTGTTTACTTGATGTAATATTCAGCAAATTAAAGACAGTCTATTTTAATTTAGGGCTTGTGGTTTCCTTCAGGTCAAATCTCTAATTCAGAGAAAAGGTAGGGTATTTCAGCTATTTAGTTAAATTGGAGGCCTCGATACAAGTCAAACTCTGGAAGCTTTATGAAAACGAGATAATCTCATATTTTGCTCTTTTCTAATTCCTTCAAAAAACAAAGTTGTCAGCTCATGAAAGTTAATGCGCAGAGTGTGGATTTTTAAAATGGTATTGGGATGAGTGTTTTGAGGAATTAATTTGCCCAAATTGTGTTGCGCATTCGAGCGCTGTGCGACAGTATTAGCATTGTGAAGTGTGTATTAAAGAGTTTCTTCAATTAAGCTTGGCTGTGAATGATTCTGAGGGTTCCTTTTGTTATAAATTACTATTTCCTAAATGCTTTTGCAGAGAAGCGATGAAACCCTTTTAGATTTGGAATGTTTAAAGAGCCTTTCTTGCCAGTGGTTGATTTTGAGCCAGCTCCAGTGTTTATAAGAACTCATGAAACAAAGCAAAGTTGAGGATGGCCCATTAGCTGTTTCTCTGTTCTTCCACTGAAATTTCTCCTTCAGTCCTTGGTGCTAAATCTACCCTACCTAACTCATCTGACGAGGCAGGACAATGTGTCCTTGGCACATACGTATCGAGCATGATTTGAACTTTTGCCTAAAAAGTTCATTGACCCTGTTAGTACCTTGACCCCATTTTGAGCGCAAAACAGTAACATAAAAACTGCTACTACTTTTATAGCTAGGGAACATCCATATTCCTCAGGTAGCATGACACAGGAAAGTGTACCTTAAAATGCCAAAATGGAAGTGAAATGAACATTGTAGATACCTAAAACTTGAAACTGGAGGGAGGGCTATGAAGTAGTCCCAGGTGCAGTGTATGACCCTAAGAAGATATTTTTTTCCTATGTAGTAGTTCCACTTTATCCGTGATTTTGGTCTCTTTCGTTTCAGTTATCTGTGATTAACCATGATCTGAAAATATTCAATGGAAAATTCCATAAATAAGCAATTCATGAGTTTTAAATTACTTCCTGTTCTGAATGGCAAGACAAAATCTCACATTTTGTCCACGATTAGACATGAACCATCCCTTCGTTCTGCACATCCATGTTGTATGTGCTACCCACATGTTAATCACGTAGTGACTGTTTTCATTATCAGATCCACAGGGCTTGTGTTCATGTAACCCATATTTTACTTCATAAAAGGACCCCAAAGTGGGAGAATAGGGATGCTGGCAATTCACACAGCCCAAAGAGAAGCCATGAGTGAGAAGATAAAAGTTCTCCACTTAATAAGGAAAGAAACAAAATCTGATGCTGAAATAGCTAAAATCTATGATTAGAACTAATCTCCCATCCCTGAACTTGTGAAAGCGAAAAATACATCTTGTACAACTTTTACTTTATACCTCGTACAAGATGGAAAAGGCCTACATTTGTGGGAGGAAGACATAAAAAAATGAGGACCTAATTTGTAAATTATACTTAATCACTATTTGTGTATATATATAGGAAAATTATATATAGGGCTTAGGATTATCCAAGGCTCCAGGCAGCTACTGGGGGTCTCGGAATGTACCTCCCTTAGATAAGAGAGGGTGCTACTATGGTCAAGTTGTAAGGCCAAGAGTGCTGTTCATTAGGGTGGCTGGAGTTCTCAAGCTAGTTCACCAGTTCTGTGCTTCTCTCAGGAGAGAGGGTCTTTGGAAGATGGTCTTAGAAGATCTGAGGTGTTTTGCTCTGATCCCAGCAACAGCTGCACTGACTCAGCAAATCAGAATTCTACAGGAGGTTGCTTCGCCATTTTCTTTTACAGTTCACTTCAGTTCTTCTTTCTACCCTTAATATCTCACCTTGCCTTTGTGTTGCCATTTAAAAATAACCAGAGGCAGGAATTTTTGTCAAAGGCCCATGGAAATCTGACCACCAAACACACCTGTTTGTTGTTATATCTGCTGGTCATTGAGATGAATTTCCCTCTGCAAATAGGTAGAAAGCTGTTGCTTGCTGGTTCTGATCACCTGCACCTCCTTGCTTGAGCTAGCTGGGTAATGGGGCCATCTTGATGTAAACAAGTGCCCCCAGGGGTCTTTGCAAGTTTTGATCCTGACTTTCCAGGTGGCTGTGTGGGAGAAGCTCCCTGGGAGAAAACCAGAGGTAGATAGATCATCTCCAAATGGTCCTTGCAGCCACATTTGCATTTAGAGATAAACGTAGAAAGGAGAAGCGTGGGGAGTGCAGAGACTGGGGTAGTTTAATCAGCTCAGACTGACCTTAGGAGCATCTCTACCAGACTGGCACTCTGTGTGGTCATCCCAAGCTCTGGCTGGTAGGAGGAAGTGGCTCTGCTGGGCACTGAGGGTGAGAACAATGCAGAGCCGACAGTCTGTGTTTTCCTTAGGCTTGGAAAGGGAAAAATTGTGCCAAGTTCAGTGTGTTCTGGAATCATTTAGATGCCTTTTGTTTCCTCCAAGCTTCCTCAGCCACCTCTTCCTTTCTGCTTTATCTTGAATACTAGAGGCCCCAGTTTTTTAGCTTCCTTCTGTAGATTCTTGACTCTTTAGGAAAAAGCTTTTAAGCACAAGAAGGAACCTGAAGAAATGGGATTTATGTATATAGACTCGGCCTGGGAAGAGCCTTTCTTCTCAGTCACTGCAAAGAGTGAGTGATAAATCTGCCACCAGATGTCTCTGTAGCCCACTCTACCAGCCTGAGAGCACAGGGAAGGCTGTGGGCCCCGAGCTTTGTGTGACCCTGTGGTGTAGCCCCTAACCTAATATGTGAAAAAGAAATGACTCTTGTGTGTGTGGCGTGTGTGTGCATGTGTTGCTCACACACATGGGTGTATGCATTTTCTTTGCGAGGGTGTTCCCTGAATCCCTTGGTTGTCTGTTTCCCCCTCCCGGAGTCCTTTCTAAAAGTGAGAGAAGAGCTGCAGAGTGCTTCCCAAACAGGAGATTGGCCACTGCCAGGTGCCACCAAACACAGAATTTATGGTGAATATGGCATGTGCCACGTCTTTTAAGTAGGCGATGGTGAAAACATTCCACCAGTTGAGTCCCAAAGATAGTTTGTCTACCTGGGTAAGAGATGTGACTGTGACTGCTCTCCGACGTGTTGTTGGCTGTGACCACCTGATGATCTGAGCAGTGACGCCTCCACACGGCACCCTCCTCAGCTCTCTTCTTGCCTTAGCAGACAGAAAAGGTGTGGCACTTGCCATGACACGGGGCACGACCACACAGATGCATGGCCTTTGAGGAACAAGGTGACTGTTCACAGAAGGCTTTGCTCAGCTGCATCTCTGTCTGCATTTGAGTTATCTGGCGATGATCTTAACAGATTTAGGAGCTTTTCCAAATAAAAGGCTGAGGTTCAAAAGTAAGAACCCATCAATGCATATGAGTTGGTATATGAAGAAAATGAGAACACTTAATATAGAGCCAGCAACAACACATGCAAATCCAAAGTGATTCGCATTCAACATGTGAGTGTCGTCAGCAGTGACACTGTCTCCCTTCTATGGGATGGAAGTTAGGATAATGGCGCTAGAGTGATAAAAAGCAGTCCTGATCTTATTCCAAAGAAAATATAGACTTAAAAGCATTTTTATAGATTCTCTCCTTCTCCCTTAGAGTTCACACATACAAAAAAAGCACCATTTCTTGTTTTAGAAACATGAATTTTGGATTTTTTTTTTTTATACTGGGGATTGAACTCAGGACCTTGCACTTTGGAGGCAGGTGGCGGCACCACTGAGCTAAATCCCTGGCCCTGGATGGTTTTTTTTTTTTTTTTTTTAAAAAAACAAAAAACAAAAAAACAAGATGCAAAACCTTAGTGTCAACACAATGCACTGGTTGCTTCTCCACAGCTCACTGAGGGTGGTGAGGAGAGCCTGGACTCGCCCCAGGAAGCTCTGCACCTCAGTGGACAGAGCTATCATCAGAGGAGGCAGAACAAGTCTTCTGAGGTCCCTGAAGGAAAGCCATATGCTCTGAAGATCCAGAACACTACCAGCTGCAGCTCGGGGACATACAGGTGCACTCTGCAGGAGCTGGGAGGGCACAGAAACCTCAGTGGCGTGGTGACTTTGAAAGTGACAGGTGAGCTGACCTGCTGTACTTGTTTTCTTCTTGCAAAATGCATGTGCACTTGCTGTAGGTCCTGAGACTGATCTTTTCTTTTGGAGCCTAACGCTGCAGCTTTGGATCACATCTGTGCTGGCAGCTGAATTCTGCTGCAAGAATGTCATAACTTTCTCTTCAGGTGGTCTAAACTATGTGGTGACTTTTGCCCAATACTTGTTAAGGGCTAAGACCAGAAATGACAAACTGGAAATGTTCTAGAGCCCCTATATTATTGCACAATAGCTACTTTCTCCTGATATCAGTTATCTGAGAGCAGTCAGAGATAAGATAATATTCCAAAACTCACAAGGACTCAATCACCATGTAACACACACACACACACACACACACACACACACACACACCCCTACTATTCTCTGCCCTCTCCAGCTCTTTACCCTTTGTTTTTGCCCTCATGGCACTTTTACACCTGACATACTATACACAGGTTGGTTTACTGTCCATCTTTCCCAAGAAAGTAAGAACTGTTTTGTTCTCTGCTTACCCTAGCACACAGTAGGCCCTCAGTGAATCTCACTCACTGGGAAGGGAAATGAGAGCCACCTTGTAGGGAGAGGAGCAACAAGCCCTGTGGAGAGTGGAGAGAAATAATCCGAGCACAGCTGATTTTCTCTCCTTTTCCTCTTCAGAGGCAGAGTGGGATCACTAGGTTTGGATCACCTGTTAACTCTGCTGCTCATTAGCATGTGGCCTTGGGCACAACACTGGGCTGCTCCAAGCCTCAGTTGCATCATGTCTAAGATAGGGACCATAACATCTACAACCTAGCCTTGTCCCTAAGGTTAAACAAGACAGTTAAAATGCTGAGGGGCAGCACCTGGAGTAGACTGGATGCTCAATCAGTGTTAGGGTCCCTTGTGGCAACAGGTGTTGTTGCCCTCTTTAATTGAGGTACAGACCCAGGTGAGAAGCCATCCCTAGGCTATTGGATGTAGTTTGGGGTCCAGTTTCAAATCCGCAGGCCTCAGGGGAGGAGCTCCCTGGGATCATCTGCCCACCTCCTGCTGCTTGGGCCATAAACAGATTCCCTTAGCAACCACACCACAGCTCAAGCCAGACTTGCTGCATGTTGCACATAGTGTCCCCTGGGCAGTTGTTCCTGGGCGGGTCCTCCCTCCTCCTCCAGTGCTGCAGCCACAGCCCCTAAATTCCCTGGGGGAGCTGTCCTCACCCCCTGTGCCATGGGGTCATAGAAAAGCTCAGGTTCTTCCAAACTGGGTTGACTTTCTTAGACAGTAGCAAGGCAGGTCCCCATCTCATTTTATAGTCACGAGTCCTCCTGGGTGAGAACACATAGCGGTGACCCTAACCAGAAGAAGTTAAGGTAACTTAGGGATAAAGAAATGGTGGCCATCTGAGGTGGACACAGAAGCCAGGAAGGCCTGACATCTGAACGAATGGCCATCCCTGTGGCATGTCTGAGTCCTTGGCCTCTCTGAGCTTTAGCTACTTTCTCAGTCACGTGAGGACTCAGAGCTGTTCTGAAGATTAGGGACACGGTGTGCGCGTATCCCTTGGTACACAGCTGGGCACAGAGCAATAGTGAGCACTCGCTGCTGCCATAGCCACGACGATGACTACAGTCCTTCTTGATGCACAACTTGACAGTAGGAGAGGGTGACAGTGAGTTGGGCTGGAGGAAGTAGGAGCACAGCATCCTTAGCCTTGTGTTACAGTAGAAAAATCCTGTTAAAATGGCTTCGTATATTACTTTTCTTTAAAGGATGCTTTGAGGTACCCAAAGAAACCACTTTCAAGAAATATAGAGCTGAGATTGTCCTGCTCTTCTCGCTTGTCATTTTCTACTTAACACTCATCATTTTCACCTGCGTAAGTATCTGTTTAAAACGTCTATTACTATGAAAAGATCAGCTGGGGCCACCAATGCCAATATGTTTTGTATTAGTGTGAATGATTTAATAATGGGGGAAGTGACAATTCTCTTACCCTTAGACTTACTGAAACCCCCACACCAGAATGATCACGATAGGAAGCACCCCAAAATGGTTCCAGCTGGTTTTTTGCTACACTTCTGCAAAGCAAATGAAGTCAGACAAGTGAAGAAAGTTTGAGAAATGTCAAAGGATCCTACTAAAAACCAGGAGGCCATGTAGTAACAGTGGTGAAGTCACAATGCGACCAGCCCCTAGCCCAGAGCAGAGGCCCTGTCCTCCCTGTGGGTGAGGGAGCAAGTCCAGATGCCCAGGGATGGATCTGTCCCCTTTTGCAGAGTAGATTCTAAAACATGAGTAATGTTAGCTTCTTGTTGGCAAACACCTGCTTCCACAGGCGCCGGCTTTCCGTGTAGATCTCTAACAGGTGTCTGAAACAGCTGTAGTCCTTAGTCAGTGAATCTCCTGGCTGAAGTGTGACGATGCCAGGGAAATGGCCCAAGTGTCTTGTCGAGCGAGGAGAGAGCTGAGCTGTATAACTAGGGCTTCCCAAAGGAGCTGTCCCATGAGCTCTTAAGGAATGGATGCCCACTGCTGCATCTCATGTCTTGACTTGTCTCTTTGGTTTCACTTTTTTTTAGAAGTTTGCACGGCTGCAGAGTATTTTTCCAGATTTTTCTAAACCTGGAATGGAACGAGCTTTTCTCCCAGTCACCTCCCCCAATAAACATTTGGGGCCAGTGACTCTTCACAAGACAGAAGTGGTGTGAACAGGATTTCTGCTGTTTTTCTAAAGTCAAGGGCTCAGTGGCATGCCTAGATACCACATTGGACAAGAGAAGAATGAGCCCCACCTTGAAGATGATGCCGCCCTGCCTGTGAGGTCCTTCACCTGATTGAGAACACCTGAAGTGGATCCCACCCCATTGTCTGCTTGCAGGGTCTTGAAAACCATCACATGATCACATAGCATGGGGCCATTGCTACTTTTCCATGGCTGCCATCTTGGCATTTTATGCAGCTATCTGGTCAACCTCTTGAACACTTTTTCAGTCGTATAAAAGCTATAGTGAGATGCAGTTGGAAAAGGGTCTGAGGAAATTTGAATTCCCAGAGCTGGCCCTGTGTCTGACTCCTGAGGTCAGCCTTCTTCTTGCACATCTGGAAAACATCTCTTTGAATTTGCCGTGTTTTGTTGCACCAGCCCAGATGTGTTATATCTGAGAAAGATTGACAGGCTAAGCTGTGAGACAGTGAGAAATATTTAGCAAATAATTTCCTGGTGTGAAGGTTCTGCTATCACTAAGGATGATTATGTGTATATAGAAGTGAAAGGTCAATGGACTGGTCCCCAACAAGGCCTTTACATCTGGGAAAGACATCCATAAAGAAGCAATAAAGAAGAGTGCCACATTTATTTTTATATCTATGTATACTTATCAAAGAAGGATTTGTGTTTTTCTTCTTTTGAAATCTAGATCTTGTCGGATAGCATTGCTAACTGACAAGCAGTTAGGATATGGAGAGTGAGAAGAATTCAGAGAATGACAGTAGGATAGAAAGGATAGAGCACTACTGAGTAATCCCTGTTGGGATTACTAGACCACCCATGCCATTTGATTCTCACCCTAGGTGTCCCATTACCTAGCTGTATGAGTTTGGACAAGCTGTCTATGGTTTCTTCATTCTCAGTTGTAAAGTAGGAGGCTGTTGTGTGGGTTGATTAAACTGATATACGAGAACATGCTTTGAAAAGGCGTAAAGCACTATACAAATTCAGCACTCCATTGGGTCATAATCCTTGCTATTACTGTGATGTATATCTTGTGTTTTCCATCATTCAAAACAAAGAAGGCTACGAAGAGAATATTCTTGGAGTCTTCCCCATGGATTCCTTTGTCTGTACCAGTATTAGAGAGTGAAGAGAATACTGAGTTGATTTAGTGCTTTTTGTCTCTTTGTCATCACTTTCCTGGTATTAAAGGTATGCATGCGAATAGGAAGTGTTTTTCTTTTTCATTTTAAAACTACTCCGTGAGATTTTGGGATGAGTGCTAGGATGTTGATCTGTCCTGCTGGAGAAGAGAATCTGAGATGAATTGGAGACATGATGGATGAACCCAGATTCCCCTTTCTGGGAAGGAGGGCATGCATAGTGGATTGGCCTCTCAAGGGCAGCATTCCTCCTTCCCAAGGCCCTCAGGGGTCCATCCCAGGGCTGCGTTACCACCTGGTCAGCACACAGCCAGCTTACCCACATGCATGACCACTGGGGAGTGATGGGAAGGGAGCATTTCTGCCTCAGAAAGATATGTAATGCTAGGGACTTTGAACCCGGGGTTCATGGGGTTTTGCTCAAGATTCTCAGATAGGTTCCTTAGCCTCCAAAAGTTGAGAATAATATGTACAAGTGCTTGTAATAATCATAAAAGCATCATAGGTAAATAGCTCTTTACAAAGATCAATGCACATAAAATGTCTGTAAAAGCTGTAGGTTCTCTTTCAGTAAAATTAACTGCATTCTCAAATGCTTTACCAAAAGTACCGGAGAGATCATGTAGCATGGTAATTAGGAACTGGGTTCTTAGCCATCTGGAGTTGTACTACCTTGGACTTGTCTCTCCAAAGCTCAGTTAACAGATCTTAAATAGGAATAGTATCTGCCCAGTAGGCATATTGTGAAGATTAAATGAGATGATATGTGGAAAAACTGAGCCCAGGGTCTAGGAAATAGTAAGCTGATACCAGAACAAGAACGGAGGGAAGAAAGTGGAGACAATGTCAGAGCCCAAGAATCTTTGACAAAATGCTTTTGTTAAAAGGAACAAACTGACTTGGTGGTTGCCCATTTTGCCCACAGAGGGTGAATACATGGTAAATTAAATGTTCCATCCCTATCAGAGTTACAGCGTAAAAGAGACCAGGAAGGAGGCTGCCCCTGGTTGGTTTAGACTGCTTTCATGTCTGCTCAACAATTTATATCAAGTATTTGGTATATAAAAAGTGAGTGTGTGTGTGTGTGTGTGTGTGTGTGTGTGTGTGTGTGTGGTAGGCTAGAAGGGCAAGGAAGGCAGAATTTAAGAAGAGTGAACAGATTTTCCACTTGGGTCCTCACAAGAAATTTTAGAGAAAAGTAGACGCTCATGGGCCATATTTAGCCTATGTCTTACTATCAGGGAAAGCTTGTCTCAGACCTCTCCTGTCTATGGAGTTAGATCCACAGTTATAACAATTTTGCCTTGGGATGTCCCAGGACACAGATACAGATGTGAGTAGCAGCTTCACATTCTTACAATAGACAACCTGTAGTTTTTGTATTCATAGTACTATTTGGTAGGTTCAGTCACAGAACAGACTGAGCCACTGTCCTAGAACCCAACAGAGCCCAATTATTTGCCCGGGTTGTGGCTGTGGACATGGAGGCAGCAAAGTGAGGCCGTGTGTCTGACCTCAAAGCACAGGGGCAGTCGGGAGCCTCAGAATCCTTCAGTCTGCTTCCTCGGCTTTCTCTTCACTGGCAGCTTCATCTGGTTGCCTTAACTGGATAATTGTTTGATAATTTATCTTTGTAAAAATAGCCAAAGACCTAAAAGTCTTAGCTTAGGAGCTGTTTGCTGAATTCACCCATAATTTTTCCTCATGGTTTTCTAACTACCAATTATTTACAGAGCCCAATTTGACATAATTGGCAGTGAGATTCAATCAATCAGTTCTTTGTTCAGAGTCTATTATTGCTATTTATTGTCCTTTCAAGACTAGATGTGCTTATTTCCTAATTTTCACCTTTAAATTATATAAGAAATTAAAAATCTACCACATGCCCTTTGCATTGTGTGTGTGTGTGTGTGTGTGTGTGTGTGTGTGTTTGTGTTTGAGATGATGGGTGAAATTAAACGTAAGTATGATGTACTGGCTGGGCATTTATTCTAGACAAAATGCTACAGTAGACAGTTTGCAAAAATTAAAAAAGAGCTTACAATATAATAGAAGGAGAAATGAGCTCAGTGCTCTAAGTGCAGTTACTTATTTTACTTAATATTATACAGAGTAACAGACACACACACACACACACACACACACACACACAGATGGTGTGGAAGTGTCCAGATTCTTCTGGGGACATCTTACAAGGCTTTCAGAACTGATTCTATCTCCTTGATTTGAAAGGTAAGATCTTGAATGATAGTGATGGAAATAATGGTGGGAATGGCAAGGCCCAGTCTTCAAGGAAGAAGGCAGAAAGCAGGCTTGAACACAAGTTGGGAAAGGGGAGCCTGAGGGCGTTGGTGGTGGAGCAGGGGGAGCAGTGAGGAATGGCGGGCAAGTTATCAGAGAGTTGGAAGGGTCCTGAGTTGGGATGCCATATCACTGGATCCTATTTTGGGTTAATAACCAGGAAAACAAGGAGGACAAGATGAAAGAGGTGGAGGGGACGGGAGGCATGAAGACCCAATTTTCAGAAGCAGAGCACAAATGGAAGAGGACAGATAGATGGGAACCAGTTCACTCATAAAAGTTATCTTTGCAATGTTCAGTTCCAGGGTTCCTTACAGTCCTAGCTGCTGTATATGTTTTGGTTATTGTTGCTGTTGGTCTTTTCTTCCTTTTATTAAGGTCTCCTTTCCTTTTTAAAAATAGCAGAATGGAAAGAGCCTTTCCCTTCTGTCTTTGCCTCTCTACAACACACAGAACTTAATCACTTTAAGCCACTGAAAATGTCCCCAAGTTTCCCAGCTGTCATATGGCTAATAAGACTCTGTCACTGCTGTAGTCATAGACTTTTCATGGTTCTGGCTGATTTTATTCTCTTTTCTTCTCACTCCCACCTCAACTTTCCTATCCTGGAAGAACATTCCTGGTTTTCCTCTTAGATACTTTTGTGTTATATCTCATCAGTGATCAGTTGACTTAGGAAACATGCCAGGCATTACCTGAGTTCTTTTGGTTTATAATTCATGTATTTACAACCATGTAACCAGTGGTGGGCTCTTTCCTGGATTCTGAATCTTTATTGTCCAACTGATTACGCATTGCCTAATTGCTCCTTAATGAGCTTTAAAAATGAAATCTTCCAGCAGTTGGATGACTAGGAAACCTACTAGCAAAGAATGCTGATAATCAAGAGGTACCTTTCGTTTGGTGTGATGGTTTGTGTGTGGGTAACACAGGATGCATATTCACACATCACAGAGAAAGGAGAGTGGTGGTGTATGACATCATACATTGCCCCAGCGGTTGATATATTACACACCAGTCCCACTCTGTCCTCCAGAGAAGAGGCATTTCACGTGCATGCATGCCTCTTTTCTTTTCCACTTTGTATTTCATTCTCCCCATGGGATTCCAGGCAGTGCACAGTTAGGTAACAAAGACCTATCAGGAAAATACCATCTAGGCCTGGTGTATTTGTTTCCATGGTTCCTGAGAAGTTAGGGTGAAGGAAGGAGGTGAAACTCAGGCACTAAAAGCAAATCTTCTATTCTTTTCTCCGTTCAATGCACAAACACATCCAGTATCCCTCTGGGCAAGGCAGCCAGCGCTCACTTAGTGGTTCATTTAGATTCTGCATGAGAAGGAGATATTGTTTTTTCTTCATTATCAGAGGGGCTATTTCTTCAAATTGACCATTTCCCCCTCACACTCTTTGCCAAAGTAGCCTGTTTACAATCTACTCTTGCAGATTACAGTACTTAGTAGAGACAAGTAGAGGAAATTCAGACATTGAAGAGCTTTAAGACATCCCACAGAGTTTGAATGCATTTTTCAAAGAGAGAAAAAAAATTCTGCTAATATGTATGTACTTGCCTGTGTCCCCCAAAGAGCCAGCTGGACAGCCCATAAAAGGCTCTCATTCAGGAACAACAAAAGCCTGTGTCAGAAGTCAGGGGACAGGAGGCTGAGAACTAATAATAATTTTGCACTTACACAGCAGTTTTCATCTGAAGACCTCAGAGTGCTTCATAAACATTAATTAAATTGCCCAACAGCCCTGTGAGATGGCTGTGTATCACTATTTTCAGTTTGTAGGGAGCAGAGGGCAGAGAAGTGAGTGTATGGAGGGAAGTTGCAGCCAGGCCATGCTATGAGGCATGTGGATGGTGGACTCTGAAAAAGGGGTGGGAACTTTTCCCTGGTGACTCCAAGGCCATGGTCAGGCGTGTGTGGTACCTGCTGAGCCAAGGAGGTGGTTCGGTGACTCCCCCAGCGTACATATGAGTGAAGGACACCAGCATGACTTCTCAGCAGCTCATCACCAGACTGCCACCATTAGACTCCTTCCTGTAGTGGGATTTCTGGTAGCAACCTGGTTTCACCACAGGTTTGGCTCTTATTACTTGTAGGTATGGCCAGGACAGTTGTGGGGTCACTGTGGTATTTAGTCTGCTCTACAGAATATCAAGTGATAGATACTGGGTTTTGCCTTGTATGTGAGCGGAGGTAGTTGTGTTGAATTGTACCCTCCAAGAAGATTTAGGATGTGATTGAAAAGTACATATGGTCGCTGTTTAAAAATTAATTACAGTAAAAGACACATTCCATTAATACTCTTCAAAATACTTCTCTTTGCTTCAGACACATTTATCTCATCATTCTTACCACTTTCTGAAGCAGTTCTGGAAGTCCTCTTTCATGAGTGTCTTTAGTTGTGTTGTTATGGCTGCCATAATTCCTGAATTGATTCAAAATGTTTACTTTTCATAGTCATTTTGACTTGGAGGAGGAGCCAGAAGTAGCATGGTGCCAGATCGAGTGAGTAAGGTGGATGAAGACACAATGAAGAGGTACCCTTCCGGTGGATGGGACTCAGCAGCAGCATTCACCATGGTTTTGATTATACCTCATAAAGGCACTCAGAAAAGACAACTTCCGGGAAAGAACAATGGGATAAATTCATTTGAAGAGAGGGAGAGTATTTTGAGGGAGATTAATAGCACTGGATCTTTTTCTGTGCTAAATTTTCAAAATTTAAACATTCACTATATTACGACCACAATATTG